CCCCAAAACCCCAAAACCCCAAAACCCCAAAACCCCATTTAGTGGGGAATATATTGTTTTTAATATGAAGAAGGTGGTAGTTGGGTTAGTGCTGGTTTTGGGGGCTGTAGGGGCAGTGGAAGTAGGTGTGAGTGAGGATGTGACTGTAGGAGGACTTTCTTCAGGAGGTTTTATGGCAGTGCAGACTCATGTGGCGTTGTCGGAGATTGTGCATGGGGCTGCGGTGTTTGCAGGAGGGCCGTATTTTTGAGCCATGGGTGATTTTGATACGGCTATTACAGATTGTATGCAAAATGGAGAGAATATTAATTTGGATAGGCTGATTAGATATGTTGAGATCAATGAGAAGAGTCGGTATATTGATAAAGCAGAGAATTTGGTAGATGATCATGTATATGTTTTCAGCGGATTGTCAGATTTTAGAGTTCTACCTATTGTTAATCGTCAAACAGCGAAGTTTTATGAGAGAATGGGATCCAATGTGAAATCTATATTTGATTTTGATGCAGGCCACAACATGCCTACTGAGGACTTTGGGATTGAGTGTAAAGAATCTACAACTCCTTTTATTGGTAGATGTAACATGAATGGAGCTTTATCATCACTACGATACCTCCATCCTCAAAGAATCTTGAATACCATTGGAGAAATGAAGCTAGCAAATCTTTTTAGTCTTAAGCAAACCACTGGAAAAACTGTAATGGGGCCTGAAGCTTATGCTTATATCCCAAAAGCTTGTCAGAACTCATTAGCTCAATGTTCACTCCATGTGGTATTTCACGGGTGTCAGCAGACAATAGACCGTAATACTCTTTTCTAAATTCTATTACTATTTTAGAAAAATTAACTTTTCCCATAGATATAGGATTGACATATGTAGAGAGCACAGGATACAACGAGATTGCTGAAGTGAATGAATTTGTTATTCTATATCCCCAAGCATATGCAAATGAAGACCTCAACCCACTCGGATGCTGGGACTGGTGGGGCTTCACTGGTAAAAATTATGCCACAAAGTTTGGAAAGCAAGTTGCTGAAGTTAAAAGACTCATCAATGCACTTAAATCTGGACAAATTGATTCTACTCAAGTTTATACTACTTCTGAAGTTATTAAGGAATAGTTTTTGAAATTAATAATACCTATTTTACTTTATCAGGTTTATCTTCAATTATTTTCTATATCTAAGGGGTTTTGGGGTTTTGGGGTTTTGGGGTTTTGGGG